CAGGGAGGGACGGGAGGAAGACAGACGAGGCGTGACGGGATTTGTATTTTATATCAAAGAATAAATATTGAGTGAGTTCCATAACACTTGACGTCTCTTGATCTCTTCCTCCACTGCACTGAGACTGTTGGCAGTGTCCGGGTGTTGGCTCAGGCTATAACGAGGGTGGTGGCAGCTTAGTGATGGCTATAACGAGGGTGGTGGCAGCTTAGTGATGGCTATAACGAGGGTGGTGGCAGCTTAGTGATGGCTATAACGAGGGTGGTGGCAGCTTAGTGATGGTTATAACGAGAGTGGTGCCAGCTAAGTGATGGTTATATCGAGGGTGTTGGCAGCTTAGTGGTGGCTATAACGAGGGTGTTGGCAGCTTACTGATGACATAAGACAAAAGGGAAAAAAAGAGTTTTTACTTTTCGATAAAAATCAGAGCTCACCTGTAGTTGTTGTGGGATATTTTGTGTATATTATGGTCGACAGAGGCGTTAGATCACCTGAAGATTAACCCTCCCCTCCCACAGGCTTATTTCACTTTATGATTAAACACTTCAATATTACCTGGGAGAGTTAGGTTTGATTAGGTTAGATTTAGTTAAGGTAACGCTAGGTTAGGTTAGGTTTATCAAAGGCGTATTTATAAAAGCACTCCTATACGGCACAAATCCTACAACGCAAAGTTACCTGGGATCTTCTGAAAATTAACCACTAGAACATACTTTACCTTAAGATTAACCATCCTAAGGCTAACCTAACCTAACCTAACCTAACCCCCAGGTAGCGTTAGTGGTTGTTAATTCACCGGTGAAGTAAGCTGGGAGGTTCCTTATCAATTGATCCATTTACCTAGTGATTGTAAATTTACGCCAAACTCTTCTAATTCAATTTGATTTCCTAACTCGTACTAACTAAAGCGTCTCCAGTTAAGGTAGAGACTGTATAATACTCATGAGATTTCTTGACAGGTAATTGGAGGTTTTAATGTAAGGTGTACTTGTATATGAGGGTCTTTGTGAGGCGAATACACTGGGCCCGTGGAACCCGTCAATTTATTCTAATAACTGAAAACTGATAGTGGGACGTAAAATTGATGAGGTGAGGTTGGTGTGGGCTGTGTAGGTGTGGGCGTTCAGGTGTGGGCGTTCAGGTGTGCGGGTCAGGTGTGTGTGTGTGTGTGTGTGAGATCCCTATACAGTTTGTGGTGGAATGGGTTTCAGGTGTGGAGAGAATGGGTCCTACTCTCCTCCTCCTCTACCACCACCACCTCTTCCTCCTCTACCTCCACTACCTCCTCCACCACCTCCTCCACCTTCTCCTCTATCATATCCTCCTCCGCCTCCACCTGTTCCACCTCCTCATGCGTTGCCGTACACCTAAACCTGGATTATTACAACTTGTACAATGTTCTGGACACTAATTATCATGATACAAATTTATGTACATCATTAAAACTTTCCGGCGTCTGACCCTAATTTATAGACGAAGTGTTTACTGTTTATGTAGGAACTGGCCAAGTGTGTGTGTGTGTGTGTACAGTGAGGATGGTGAGTGTGGTGTACAGTGTTGGTGTACAGTATGGATGATGTGTGAATTATATAGTGTTGATGGACCTTGGGGGAGTGATGTACAGGGTCTGAGTAAAAGGTTTTGTGTGATGTTTGTAGACCGTTGTTCCATTAGACAGTGAGAAATGTCATCAACTTTATTACCAGTGGATAATACGGCTCATATTGCACACTGTTCATGTACCAGGTGGATTGATGTAAACTGTTCGTGTACTAAGTGGATTGTTGTACACGGATTCAGTAGTTTATTTTGTACACGGTGTTTCATTCGGGAGCCATAAATTCCAACGTAAAGGAGATGTCATTACAGTATGTAGCTACAGTGTACACGGTGTACATAGTGTGCACGTCATGTACTTGATCACCTGAAGATTAACCACCTTAATGCTACCTGGAGTTAGGTTAATCAACTTAGTGTTCCGTTAAGTTAGGGTCAGGTCAGGTCAGGTCAGGTTAGGTTAGGTTAGGTTAGTACTAGGGTATTTAATATTCTTATAGAATAGGATGGGGTGCATATTCTTCAGGTGATCCACTTAAACCCGGCCAGAAGCCCTGGTAATTATCTGTCGGTCGAAGCTAACTAATACTTTGAAGGTAACATCAGTAGTAATAAATTATTCCCCCTTAATAACTCTGAATGAAACCGGTACATAAACAGAACAGACTTGTACAGAGGGGGAACATAACACGGAGATAAAGAGAGGCTAAACATTGTTGGTTTAAGAGGTATATTAACTCCACAGAAGTCTTTACCTGGCTCCTGCACCTGGTCTTAATGAACTTCTTGGGTGATATCTTGACGTTCATTATACTGTATACAAGTAAATCAACCGCTAATATTATTTAAACCCTTCCCCTCAAAAAGTATATGCTGTATATTTTTTCTTAATAATCAGAATATAAATTTGCCGGGCTGTAGTGAGGCTCAGATTTAGGTTTATATGCAGAAGGCGCTGTAGGGTGGTGATGGTTCACTTGTGGACGGTGTGCTGTAGCGTGTGTATAAAAGTCCAAACGTCGGTCCCGGGGCTGCAGTGTTAAGGAGCCGTGTGTCGGTTATACAGCTTAGACAAGACATAAAGTTCCATTTGTCGGTTTTTTTAGTCTGCAGGTTAAATGTTTAATTGTCAGTGCTCCAACGGGGATCGTAAGTTTAAAATTTTATGAGGAGGAGCCGGGTAGGTAGCGGTCCTGGGTGACGGGTGGCGTGCAGTGGCTGGCTGGCTCGCAGTGGCTGGCTGGCTCTATGCTGCCAAGGGTCACTTAGCACCGCCTCTCATCTGGGCCGGGGTCTTTGGCATTACCGGCCCCCAGTAAGGTGACGTGTGTTGCCACCCAACCTCCTCGATTATGTAGTGGAGGGTTACTGCAACCACACTCTGAGGACGGACAGGTTACGGAGGTAGGGAATGGAGACAGAGAATGACCGGATGAGAGGCACGGAGATAATAAAGATAACTACAGAGATAGAATAAAATAGACGAACATGGAGTTGGGAAGTAGAGAGAAGTTAAGGTTTTTTTTTCAACAGGAAATATGTATAGGTAGTGTATCCAGACCATTACCCTGGTCACCTGGCAGTACGAGCAAGAACCTTCTGGTGAAGTTAACGGCAGGTCTCGTAAGGTGCGTCATATTGACTGTAGGTGAAGATAAGTGTGACCAGGTGACTGAAAGTGGATTTCAGTCCTAATGGTGCACAGTCCTAATGGTGCACAGTCCTAATGGTGCACAATCCTAATGGTGCACATTCCTAATAATGCACAGTCCTAATGGTGTACAGTCCTAATGGTGCACAGTCCTAATGGTCGTTTACTTAGAGTGTAGAAATAGAGGTCCTTCACATACGCGAACTGAGGCCATGTAAAGTACTTAGTCTAAAAGATGTAAACAGAAAAACCAGATACCAGATGAACAATGATGTTATAGAGAATTCCGACTGTGAGAAATATTTAGGAGTAATGATAAGTAGGAATCAAGTCAACAATGTGTATTTGCTCGAAACAAGGCTGATAAAGTACTTGGGTTCATACAAAGGTGTGTGTGTGTGTGTGTGTGTGTGTGTGTGTTCTCCTAGGACCTAGACACTTATTAACTCAGAGCTGGACGATTGGCACTGCCAGCCTTCTTCACTTCATCTTTGTTGTCAATCCGTCACCGTCACATCCACGCCGTCAGTTGTCACTGTCCTCGCCGTCACTATCGTCACGCCGTCACTGTCCTCGCCGTCCCACCGTCCACGCCGTCACTGTCGCCTCGCCGTCACGTCCACGCCGTCACTGTCCCTCCGTCACTCACGCCGTCACTGTCCTCGCCGTCACCTCCACGCCGTCACGTCCGTCCACGCCGTCACTCACGCCGTCACGTCGTCACCGCGCCGTCACGTCCTCGCCGTCACCGTCCACGCCGTCACTCGCCGTCACTATCGTCAACTCACGCCGTCCTCGCCGTCACCGTCACGCCGTCACTGTCGCCGTCACTGTCCACGCCGTCACTGTCCCTCGCCGGTCCTCGCCGTCACGTGTCCACGCCGTCACTGTCCCTCGCCGTCACTGTCACGTCCTCGCCGTCACTGTCCCACGCCGTCACCGTCCACGCCGTCACCGTCCTCGCCGTCACTGTCCCTCGCCGTCACTGTCCTCGCGTCACTATCCACGCCGTCACTGTCCTCGCCGTCACCGTCCTCGCCGTCACTGTCCACGCCTCGTCCTCGCCGTCACTGTCCTCGCCGTCACTGTCCTCGCCGTCACTGTCCTCGCCGTCACTGTCCTTCGCCGTCACTGTCCACGCCGTCACTGTCCTCGCCGTCACCGTCCCACGCCGTCACTGTCCACGTCACCGTCACCGTCCACGCCGTCACCGTCCTTCGCCGTCACTGTCCCTCGCCGTCACTGTCCCACGCCGTCACTGTCCACGCCGTCATTGCCCTGTGTCAGTCTGCGTGACGGTGGTTAAGAAGGGCGTGTCGGGTAGAGTGTTATGATTAGTGCCTCAGTGTTGGCTCCCGTCACACCCCATCACACCCCCGACACACCTCGTCACGCCCCAACCCACTCCCGACACGCCTCCTCTCACCCCTGTCACGCCCCATCACACCCGTTACGCCCCATCACAATCCCGTCACACCCAATTACGGCGTCGTCATGCCCCATTACAGCCCCGTCAAGCTCGATCGAACCCCCGTCACTCCCCGTCACACCCCATCACAATTCTGTCACGCCCCTGTCACAACCCAAAACACCCCTGTTACACCCCGTCACATACCCCGTAACACATCCTCAGAGAGAGAGAGAGAGAGAGAGAGAGAGAGAGAGAGAGAGAGAGAGAGAGAGAGAGAGTCTTTATTTTCTAACACCAACAAATACTGGACCCTCCTCAACCCTCCTACCCACCGTCTCAGGTAATTAGTCTCAAGTAGGACTGAAGATATAAATAAGTGTGAGTATTTAACGTTTGAATAATTAAACTAAAGTAAATTTGATGTCTTAAGTTTGGGTCCGTCTTAAGTAACACAGGTTATAAGTGAAGGTAATATTATATATTTCTTAACGTAAATCAATATAAGGTATTGGCTATATTTTACTTTGTTTACTTAACCACAGAGTACCGTACGTCTTTCCTTGATGTTTGGGACTAAGAGAGAGAGTACGTCTACCTGATACCTGTTAGTAGCAGAGATAGAGGGGGGGAAGTGTTGAGGATGAGACAGGGGAGGCAGGGGAGAGGAGGCAGAAGAGGGAGGCAAGGGAGAGAGGCATCACCCATGGTACATAAAAGAAACACAGGTATGATCAGATTAGTGGGCTGGGGATTTTGCAGTTGTCAGTCGTTGAGTTGGTTTGTTGACAATTATTAGGGGGGGGAGGAGGAAAGGTTTTGAGGAAGAGTAGAGGGAAGAAGGAGAGGGAGGAATTGTGGCAGAGTGGAGGGATGGGGGAAAGGATAAATGGAAGGGGGGAGGAGGTGGTCAGGAGAAAAGAAAGGGAGATAAAAGGGGAAAATTAAATAGAATGGGAGAAGACAAGGGAGGACTAATGGAAGGGAAGGGGTGTAGGACTAATGGAAGGGAAGGGGTGGAGGACTAATGGAAGGGAAGGGGTGGAGGACTAATGGAAGGGAAGGGGTATGTGTAGAAAGAGCTAGAAGCGAAGGGAGGAAGGCAAGGAAGGGAATAATAATACGATAAAGGAGGAAAGAAAGAGAGAGGTTTTAGGGCTGGAAGGGAGAAATGGAGATGAGAGAGTGAGGGATGAAGAGGGAGGGGAGGAAGATCTCTGGCTATTAGATGGAAGAGTTAAGCGAGGAAAAAACGTGATTGACTTTTGGCTGAAGTACTGGTGTTATATGTGAGCCTTGGAGGAAGGGTGATTGAAGAGGAGGAGGAGGATCTGGAAGGATGAACAGGAAGAGGAGGAGGAGGAGGAAAGAAGAGTGAAGGAATTATTGAGGAAGGAAAGGTGAAATAATTATTGGTGGAGGAGGAGGAGAGGTTGGAGATAAAGGAAGGGGGAGAGTAAAAAAAAAGGAAGGGAAAAGGGAAGGAGGAAACGAAAGGAAACAGTATATTAAGAAGAGAAGGAGGAGGAGGAGAAGGGAAGAAGAAAAGCGTAAGGAATGGGTGTATAGAAACAGCAAGAGGAGGAGGAGGAGGAGGAGTGGGGGGAGAAGCAAGATGGAAGCCTTCACTGCATACCAGGAGCGCGACCTTTGAGTTTTCGCTCCCATGAATATTTGATGCGCGCCAAATTTCCAATGCAATGGTCTATTTTGCGTTTCTTATCAGTCTGCAGTCGTTTGATATTTCGTCTCGCGCCCGTTAGTTCCCTGTGACTCCGAGATCCAACGAGCTGGTAATTGCTTTGTAGGAAATGTGAAGAACGTGTGTGTGTGTTTGTGTGTGTGTGTGTGTGTGTGTGTGTGTCATTGACGGCAGTGGCGGGTGATGGTGGTAGTTGGGGATGATAGTCTTGGGGGTGTTTGGTAGTGGTAGTAGGGGGTGATAGTAGTAGTAGTGGTGGGTGGTAGTAGTGGTGGATGGTAGTATTGGTGGTTAGCGGTGATAGTGGCAGAAAAGGGGTAGTGGTGACAGGCAAGGAATGTTAGTAGCAGCCTGGGGTAGTGGTGGCAGGTTGTGGGTGGTGGCTCTGTTACCCAGCAGGATCTGTGATAATTAAGAGTGCTCTATACCCCTGTAATTAAGACCATGAACGAGCACTGGCTTCTCCAAACTGCGATGCTGCGAGGGTATTGTAAATGGTCGTCTTTCGTGTCACTCTAATCCGGTGGACAGCCATTTTAAGCCGTGTCCATTGGGATGTAAATTAAAGGCGTGGCAAATAGAGTGGACGGAGGCGAGGGCACAGTGTCAGAGCTACACGATAATTGCTCCTAACTGTTTTCTCTGCAACGTTGATTAGAGTATGCATGATGTTTTATTTGAACAAACTGTAGAAATTAATGGGTGTTGCATCCATTGTAACGTCACCTCGTGGTGTTGCAGTTCACAATTTAATAGCAACATTATCATATATATATATATATATATATATATATATATATATATATATATATATATATATATATATATATATATATATTTATTTATAAAGTACACACATACACGGTATAAGTTTATAGTTAACAGGTTGGTGACTTTTCCCGGCGTTATCCAGCAATTTGTGTCGTAATTTATGGTGATGGTCACGTCAGCAAGGAGACATCTCTCCTCCATTACAATTTCACTGGACTTTGTGGGACGTCAGCCCGACTCATCTCTGTCTCCCTCCCGACCAATTTATATTCTAGAAGAAAAGGAAAAAAAAAAAGAAAAGCCCGAATGAAAATGATGATTGATGGACGAGAATTTGCAGGTTAATGCTGGGGAGCGCGAGGGATAATGACCGGATTAACCTCTTGATCAAACGAAGGATTGACTATTTTTTCTGTCATCAGTTATCGCTGGTCTTGTCAGTATATATCTTCATCGCTGTCACGTCAGATCCGATGATGATGATTCCTGTCATTATTGTCACGACAGAGGCGGTGGTGTGACAGTGAACACGTAGTGGTGGTAGTTGACGTGTAGTGGTGGTAGTTGACGTGTAGTGGTGGTAGTTGACGTGTAGTGGTGGTAGTTGACGTGTAGTGGTGGTAGTTGACGTGTAGTGGTGGTAGTTGACGTGTAGTGGTGGTAGTTGACGTGTCGTGGTGTTAGTTGACGTGTAATTATTGGTAGTTGACGTGTAGTGTGGTGGTAGTTTACGTGTAGTGGTGTTATTAGTGTACTGGTGGTAATTTGACGTTATGGTGGTATTAGTTGACGTGTACTGGTGGTAGTAGACGTGTGGTAATTATTAGTTGACGTGTAGTGGTGGTAGTTGACGTGAAGTAGTCTATTAGAGGAGATAGTCTATTAGGTGTGTTCATGTTACATATAGCTTCAAGTTTATTAGATTGACTCTCATAATGAGGAATATTGTTGTGATGGACATATTATGTAGATATGACTGGAGATATGTTTTGTAGGTCATGTTCTCGTGCCCAGAGTCCACAGTGTGCACAGTAAGAATATGACTCGAGAGAAAATGTTCATGTCACTCATGTTCTCGGCTCCAGAAAACGTGTGCGGGGCATAGCGTGACTTAAGGTAGAATGATTACGTTACTCTTCAGAAGGAGCTCACACACACACACACACACACACGACACCAACAAGACACACACACACACGGCTACACACACACACACACACACGCCCGCCATACTTACACACACAGCTTACTAAGACACACACACACACGACACCTAGAACACACACACACACACACACACACACAGACACACACACACACACACACATACGAGAAGTGTTTCGATCAGAGTAAAGTGGAATTGGCTATACAAGGTGATCCTCGAGCCCCGAGTTGTTGTAATTGGCTCTTGAGTGACGTTCAAAGTTTTAACTTAGGACTTGCCGGCGAGGTCTTAAGAGTTACGCTCGCATTTATCTCTGCGAGGGAAGCTTTGCGATACAATTGGGGCGGCGCGCGTGCAGTCAGAGTGAAATGGGTTGTGGGTGGCATATTTTTCATCCAGTGGGAGGGAGGGAAGAAGAGGGAGTGAGGAAGGGAGGAGTGAAGGAGGGAGGGGTGAAGGAGGGAGAGAGGGGGGCAATGGAGGGAGGGATAGTGTGTATTGGACGCTCTTTGTCTTTACCACCTTCTCTCCCTCCCTCCCTCCCTCCCTCCCTCCCTCCCTTCTGCCGCCCTGGAATTGTTTCTCATTTCGGGATCTTCCTCTGTTTTATTTTCTTCTTGTTTATTCTGTTGCACAAATCTTCTATTCGTTTTGGCTGTGATTTGGTGTATGTATGTGTGTATGTGTGTATGTGTGTATGTATGTATGTATGTATGTATGTATGTATGTATGTATGTATGTATGTAATAACTAGTAAACAGTTTTGTGTGGGGTTTAAACGGTATATTCAAACTTACATGTGATTTAGACATAATAATATACGTTCAATACATTTACATGTCTGTACAGTACATAAATCAGGAGTTGTTTATTATTTTAACAATAGATGGGATGGTACTGTTCTTATATCTATCGGTGCGGGCTCTTATGGGTTGAATTTTGTTGTAGTGGAGGACTGCGGGAGGTGGGTGGGGGGCTGCCGGTGGCAGGAGGTGGCGATGGCGAGGGTGGTGCATTAGTTGGCTGCCAAACCTTTCCAGTGCTTGGTGGTGGAGGTCACTGAGGGATGGCATTTCCAGGGTGGAGAGAGCGTTGGTGTAGCCGGAGTAGTCTGCGCCGAGCATGATTCTGCAGGCCCTCTTCTGTACCTTCTCTAGCTGACGTTGTTGGGTAGAGTTGAGAGAAGACGACCAGGCTGGTGACGCATACGTTAATTTAGGGAGAATAAATGCGTTGTAGATAGTCCTCAGCTCTGGCGTGGGTGCCCCAAGTGA